GGGGGCGTGCGGAGCTGGGCCGAGGCGCCGCCAGGAGCTCAGGAGACAGGCTGGGTTCCAGCTGCGCCTTTAGGGTCACACAGTCGCATTATTTATGAAAGAGGCTAAAAGTAACACCTACCCGGAAGAAACAATGTTCCAGAATAAGTCTACACTAAATACTGCTGTTAGAAACGGTGAAAAGAGAAATCAGTTTGGAGGGGGAAAAAACAAATCATTCCAAACCAATATATGACCCGGTCAGAGACAAGGCATTTTAAATTTAAGTAGCATTGCCCAGCAGAATTTTTGTAATTACCCTGAACATTGGAAAATCTCAAAGGAAAACATTTATCTAAACCCAAACTAAAGTCATAAATAGATCGGTTAAATATGTTTTAAATCATTTCCCCCCAAACGGCAGGCATTTTAAATATTTTTTTAAATGCGTTAACCCAAGAGGCTATTTTGGGAACAATACACAAAGTCTGTGATATGTGGCCATTATGATTAAGATCACTTGAATTCTTACAAATCACAAGAGGATGTGTCCCTTTGATGTATTTTCAAACCTTTATGCAAGTGACAAATCCCTACAGATGTTTTAAAGGCTTATTTCCAGAAGAAGTAATCTATGACAATATTATTTTCCACTTGGTAAAAGTTACTTTTTATTACTCTTAATGAGAAGCCGCAATCACCTTCGAAACCTCAATCAGCCCCCTCCCCAACACACACACACACACACACACACACACACACACACACACACACACACACACACACACACACCCTTCACTCTGACCAGAGCCTTGAAGACCTGCCAGTCAGCAGGCGTGTATTTGGGCTCAGCACCCTCCCGCCTGCCCTTGATTTCGCTGTCCCCTCCCACCCCACGGGCTCCCCACAGCGGGGACCAACTGATCTTTCTAAGAAAGATGAAAATGGAAGATGTTCCATCGGCTGCTATACTGATAATACCGGGAGAAGGGGTTGTGAAATGTCGGCCGGCGCGTTCTTTTGCAATCCCAGGTAGAAGGGAAGGAGGAAGAACGCTTTGTGTTTGTTTAAATCTGGCCCCGAGAACAGGGGGAAACTTAAGCCTGTTTCCAGGTTGTTCCTTGTGGGACAGAAAACAAGTTCGGTCTACGGTTCTGAAGGAGCGGCGGGAGGGCGGGCGCCTGCATCTCGGTCCGCCCAGAAGTGCCCAGGGGGCCAAGAACCGGGAGCTGCCGAAGCCCCGGCCCGCGCGTGGGGAGGTAAATTGACAATTTATTGTGTGCAATGCCTGATCAATTATTCATCCTTCGTGTCAACAACGGGGTATAATTACCTTGGGTTATTTTAAGAAATATTTGCTTTTTCGTTTCTCTGATCTGGTAATTAGTTAAGGCTCTTGGGGAATGGATTCGGAAGCCGGGCCACGCCGGACTCCTCCGCCACCCCTGCGGGTGACCTTTGGAGAAAACCCGCGACCACTCTCTCTGTCTCGGACGCTTCCTCAGCAAAGAGCCGCGCCTGGGGAGCCTGGCCCTGCGGGGCGCGGCTCTCTGCCTGGCTGGGCCGGGTTCCCGCAGACCCCGCGGGCGCCAGAGAACGGGGAGCCCCGACACCGGCCAGGAGCTGGGGCCCGCCCCGCCAGCCCCGCGACCAGGCCCGGGCCTAGCCAGGTCGCGGAGACAGCCCTGGTTCACCCCGCACGGGGTGCCAAGCCCACAGCGGCGGAGAGGAGGCCAGGGTGGGAGGCTGGGAGGGGGGGCAAGGCTGGACTGGGCTGACCAATGGGGACGGCCGCGGGGGGACGGGAAGCCGGGCCGGTTCGGCCTGGGCTGGCTCGGCCTGAGCTGGGGGACCCGTCCACCCGCAGTCCTGGGGACCGCGTGCCCAGGGCTGGGCCAGCCAAGCTAGGGCCAGACCGAGGCCAGCCACCTCCTTCCGGGGCGGAGGCGCTGCCCCCTGGGACTCCGGCTGCTCCCTGGGCCGGCTCACATTGGGCCAGGCGGGGTGGGAAGCCTGAAGTTGGTCACGTCCCTAAGCCTGCACCAGCGCCAGTTCCAAACACATGCTACAGACATCTGTTTTCAGGGCCTGTGCTGCTGGCCCAGCCCCTCGGCCGGCCCCAGCTGTGTGTGTGTGTGTGTGTGTGTGTGAGGGCGGGGCCTGCAGCTGACCCCTGCTGACCTGCTCCCAGGACGTGTGGCTTCCCTGTCCGTTTGTCCACTCCGCGGCCCGGAGCACCCCCGCCCAGCAGGCAGGTGCACAGTAGTGGCCAGGAGAGCACAGTGGTCCTGGACACGGTGGGGGCAGGCCCCATGTGGCCCGTGGAGAGGATGAGGGACAGGACTGGGCAGGCCCCTGGGACTCTGGTGAAGTGGATGGTAGAGCAAGGATGCGGATGCGAAGCTCACGTTTCTTCTCCCTGGTTCTCAAGCAGTGGAAAACAAATCGTTGGCGATGATTCTGCAGTGTCAGCCTTCCTATCATGCAGAGTGGGCATACACAGGAGTGGGGCTGGCCAGCTGGGGGAGGTGTTTCCATGGTCCCGTGCAGCATGCCCTGCACAGGAAGGGCTGGAGAGGCTGTGCTTTTGGTAAA